TCAGTTTCATATCTGAAGACTCCAATCTAACTAACTATGCCCGCCCTCCCACCCCAACAGGATCAAGTGATCAGTTACATATATGAAGACCCCAATCTAACTAACTATGCCCCCGCCCCCCCACAGGATCAAGTGATCAGTTACATATCTGAAGACCTCAATCTAACTAACTATGCCCGCCCCCTACCCCGACACGATCAAGTGAAGTATCTGTCCCGATCAGTTTCAGATCTGATCCGTGGTCCATCCGGTCCCCTTAAAAAAAGAAAAGAAAAAAAAAAGAAAACAACGAACGGACGTGCGCGCGCACGACAGAGAGAGACCCCAGTCAAACTAATTACCCCCCGCTCCCCCAAACACGATCAAGTGTAGTATCTGTTCTGATCAGTTTCATATCTCATCCATGGTCCGTCGGGACCCCTTTTAAAGGGGGCGGGGGGGGAGAGAAATGCATGCACGCGCAAGATATATATACATATATCATGAAACAGAGCTGCCCGGTAAACCGTAGGCAGAGAGGGAGAAGAGMACAACCAACGAGGGGCTGTGACAAACTGTTCCGTCAGAGTTTCTAGAGAGAGAGAGAGGGAGAGACCCCCTCCCCACCACGCGCCCCTCATTCTTCGTGCTCTCCCCTCCGCCCATCTCCCCATCCGCCTGCGCTCCCCTCCGGCCTCCTCTCCCTTCCGGCCTCCTCTCCTACATAGTTTCCTGCGCTGCTCTCCACCTTTCTCCCCCCTCCGCCCTCGCGCTTCCCCCCCGCATCCGCCTATCCCCACCCCAATATAACGAACTACGACCCCCCTCCGTTCCGATCGGTTTTCATATGTCATTGGAGTTGCCCGTGATCCATGGACCCTTTTTTTTTCAAAAAAAAGAAAAAAACGCACTAATGTGCGTGCGCGCGCACGAGAGAGAGACCCCAATCTAACTGACTGCCCGCCCCGCCACCCTGGAGTATCTGTTCCGATCATGAACATATCTGATCCGTGGTCCATCGAGAGAGAGAGAGAGACCCCAGTCTAACTAACTATATCGCCCCCCTCTCTTCCCCAACACGATCAAATGTAGTATCTGTTCCGATCAGCTTCGTATCTGATCCATGGAAAATAATGCAGGCACGCGCGCGCGAGAGAGAGAGTGAGAGAGAGAGACTTCTCAACTGTAGTATCCGTTCCGATCGGTTTTCAGATGTTATCCGTGATACATGGGGACCATTCTTTTTTCAACCCAAAAAAATAGAGGGTATGTGTGCACATGCGTGCGCGCGCACACGAGAGAGAGAGAGAGACCATGGTGGGCGCGTGATAGGAAAAGTCGATGGCAAGCGCTAAATACAAGAAAAGCGAGTGCAGCGGGTGCCCATGCACGCAGTAGCAAGAGAGAGAGAGAGAGAGAGAGAGAGAGAGAAAGAGCTCAATC